TATCTATCTATCTATCTATCTATCTATCTATCTATCTATCTATCTATCTATCTATCTATCTACAGTATCTATCTACAATATTTATGTCTGTCTGTCTGTCTGTCTATCTATCTACAGTATCTATCTTCAGTATCTATCTACAATATCTATCTATCTATCTATCTATCTATCTATCTATCTATCTATCTATCTATCTATCTATCTATCTGTCTATAACTCTTCTTTTGCATGAAAAGGCTTCAATTATAAATAATATCACATATATATGTATACAGGTAATCTTTGACTTTATGACCACAATTGAGTCCAAAATTGCTGCTGCTAAACGAAAGGTTTGTAAGGTGAGTTTTGCCCCATTTTACGACCTTTCTGGCCACAACTGTTGAGTGAATCATTGCAGTTGTTAAGTTAGTAACCCGGTCGTTAAGTGAATCTGGCTTCCCCGTTGACTTTGCTTGTGAGAAGGTTGCAAAAGGAGATCATATCACCCCGGGACGCTGCAACTGTCATAAATGTGAGTCAATTGCCAAACGCCTGAATTTTGATCATGTGACCATGGGGGATGTGCAACAGTCGTAAGCGTGAAAAATGGTTGTAAGTCAGTTTTTTTTCAGTGTCGTTGTAATTTTGAACGGTCACTAAATGAACTGTTGTCACTGGAAGACTACGTATGTGTATATGTGTGTGTGCGTGTGTGTGTGTTTCCAAAGCCGATACCTTGAGTTCATCCGTGCCTTCAATTTCTTGGCTTTCTTTTTTGTCTTCTGCCTCTCTTCACTGTCTTTTATAGGCTCGGTGGGAATCGTGTTTTCTACCACAATGTCCACGATGTATTTCTTTAAGGACAGGTGCTCCTAGAAGAAGGGAACACAGAAAAGATTGCACCCCACTCTTGCTTCTGTTCCTGCACCCTAAAAAGGAAAAACCTACCCATAAAAAGCCACAGAGTGTTAAAATCTAGTAGATGTCGGAATATATTTTTGTTTACAAGAGCACTGTGAAGCAGTATATAAGTCTAAGTGCCCTTCCTTCCTTCCTTCCTTCCATCTTCCTTCCTTCTCTTTCCTTCCTTCCATCTTCCTTCCTTCTCTTTCCTTCCTTCTTCCTTCTCTTTCCTTCCTTCCTTCTCTTTCCTTCCTTCTTCCTTCCTTCCTTCTCTTTCCTTCCATCCTTCTACTTCCTTCCTTCTTTCCTTCCTTCCTTCCTTCCTTCCTTCCTTCCTTCCTTCCTTCCTTCCTTCCTTCTCTTTCCTTCCTTCCATCTTCCTTCCTTCTCTTTCCTTCCTTCTTCCTTCCTTCCGTCCTTCTACTTCCTTCCTTCCTTCCTCCCTCCCTCCCTCCCTCTCTCCTTTAGAGGTTAGAATGGAGCACTGCAGGCTCACTTTGTCCACAGTCTGGAGTTTGATCCTGACCGGCTCAAGCTTGACTCAGCCTTCCATCCTTCCAAAGTCGGTAAAATGAGGACCCAGATTTTGGGGAGCAAATAGACTTTCTCTGTAAACCGCTTCATGATAGGCTGTGAAGTGCTACGTAAAGTCCTTACCAAAGGACCTTGGACATGAAGATCTGGATATAACACCATCAAACATCCAGACCTGCCTATCCGAGGTCCTTGGTAAGGATTCAATAAGTAGACAAAAATGCCAAACCCAGTCTGAACATCTGGCTGGCTATGCTACGATTAACAACAACAACAACAACAACAACTAGGAGTTGGATTCTACGCTGTGATCTTTGTCAATAGGGTTTTCTAATGATCGTGGTTCAGTATGGAAACCTTGTCTGGAATTGACCTCTCAGATGGAGTTATTTCGGTTGTGTGGCAGGCGGCTCTTACCCATTCTGGGTTTAAAACAGAAATGTGTCAAAGATCAAGTGTATGTTATCCAAAGTGTCAAGTGCAGGAGGCTAAAGGTGAAATTTCATTAGGTCAGGGGTAGTATAAATAAAAATCTTATACATCAAACGAGAAGGGTCATTTAATATGAAGGCATCAGAGGTGAAAAGCAATAACTTTAAGTAGGAATAGTGCATTCACCTAGAGGTGCCTTCATTGATTAAAAATAAAATGGGGAACATAGAGAGAAGTAAAACTAAGCTGACTCAACCACATTATTTATTCCTATATTTTGAAATTTTACTCTTAAGTACGCAAATCATAAACGTTGTTGTTCTAAGGGCATATAAATTTTGCCCAGAGCTGTACGTAGTAAGAAAGACCATATTATATTAGGATTTATCATAATTCTTTGCTGGCTGTAACTGATTAAAACAAATTAACTCAACAAACAGGGTACTTCCAATATGGGGCATATTCAATAAAGGCACCAAGCTCTCGGGAAAATTAAAGATTAAAGGAAGACTTCTTCCGTTCACTATGTCCTGCAGGAAAAGTGCGATCTCAGATCAAAAGACCCATTGACCAAAACAACCACTGATGACTGAACCACCAGGGTGTTGGTAGAATCCACCAAGCCAACTCCAAAGACGCAGCAGCATAGATTGCCATCATGTGTGAACCCAGCCACTGAGTGTAGCCGCAGTTCCAAAAAGCTCATGAAAGCCAGCTCCAGTTTTCCCGAAAGGTTTAAGGTCCCACTGCAACCTCCAGCTGGGTATCTCTTCACCTCCTTGCTCTGAGTAGGACAATAGCCATAGCACTTAGAGTTCTATCCTGCCTCACAGGGCTTCTACTCTAAGCAGTTGGCCTCTTGCCCCCAACAATTTGGGTCCTCGTTTTACCCACCTCGGAAGGATGGAAGGCTGAGTCAACCCTGAACCAGTCGGGATTGAACTCCTGACAGTGGGCAGAGTTATGGAAGGAAGGAAGGAAATAGCAATAGCCCTTAGACTTATATACCACTTAACAGTGCTTTACAGCCCCTCTCTAAGCGGTTTGCAGAGTCAGCTTCTTGCCCCCAACAATTTGGGCCTTCTTTTTCCCACCTCGGAAGGATGGAAGACTGAGTCAACCCTGAACCAGTCAGGATTGAACTCCTGGCAGTGGGCAGAGTTATGGAAGGAAGGAAAGAAGGAAGGAAATAGCAATAGCCCTTAGACTTATATACCGCTTTATAGTCCTTTCCAGCCCTCCCTAAGTGGTTTTACAGAGTCAGCCTCTTGCCCCCAACAATCTGGGTCCTCATTTGACTCACCTCGGAAGGATGGAAGGCTGAGCCAACCTTGAGCCTGGTGAGATTTGAACTGCCAAAATTGCAGGCAGCCAGCAGTCAGCAGAAGTAGCCTGCAGTACTGCACTCTGACCACTGCGCCACCACTGCTCTCAATAGAGTCTCAGTAGACATGTTTTCCACCAATGCTTTTACTCTTCTGGCTGGTTATTCAGACTTATGGTCAGTAACCTATCTCCGAATCCTCAGATTCATTGATGTGCTGTATTACATCCCAGTTTCTCAACCTGGACACTTTTTAAGAGGTGTGGGACTTCGACTTCCAATTCTGGGAGTCGAAGTCCACGCATCATAAAGTTGTCCTGGCTGAGAAACAGAGCTCTAATCCAGGGATCTCCAACCCTGGCAACTTTAAGACTCGTGGACTGGCTGGCGGAGGAACTCTGGGAATTGAGGTCCACCAAGTTGCCAAGGTTGGAGAGATCCCCGCTCTAATCTGCTGCCTGTTACACTGTGTTGGATTCCAAATCCTTCCGATCTTCCGGCAATTGGATCAAGGCTGTGCCAACATAACAACCATTTCCTGTTGGATAATAAAATTGGGGAGGGGGAAAACAGAGAGAAGACGTACCACTTCTTCATCGGAGAGCTCTCGGCCTTGGATGCTGCTGTTTTCTCTCACAGCTTGCTGATGCTTTTTTCCCTTAATGTGGCTAAAGAGATACACCTCCGAGGAAATCTGGAAAAGGTGTGTGACATTTGCTCGGGTCATTCGTGGCAAAATTTGAGATAGCCAACCAACCCGACATGTCACGGCTAGTCCGGCTTCTACAGGGGACAAGATTGATGGACTGAGATTGGTAGTCTGAGGAGATGGTTCTCCATTGTCCTTCATGGCTTTTCTCCAGGCCAGATGTTGGGGCGTTTCTTCCCAATTTGCACCTTTCAGAACTGAAGAAGCTTCTTGGATGAGAAGCAAAATGTTTCCCAAGGAAAGAAGTGAGAAAGTCCAGTTGCCTTTGGGAAAAGCAGCTTTGGGACAACCAAGACCTGGCTGATGGAGGATCTCCATCGATACTGAGTTCAACATAGCCTGTCATGCCCCTGTCGGAATCTGATTTGGAGGGGGAGGCCGAGCAGCTGACAGGGAGTGGGAGTGTAGCTCCGTTGGCTGTGGAAGAAATTGGGGAAGGGCAAAGTCCGGCTGGGCAGAGGTAGAGCAAGGGAGCGGGAATTCGGAGGAAGACTCAGGCCCACCCCCTCTTCATCCTAGGGCATGCAGGGGGAAACGGAGAAGGGAGCAACGTGGGTTGCATGGCTTACGGGGGAGGAAAGGGCCTGATTCCCTTCATTAGCTGCAGCTGGGAACACAGGGTTTAACAAGGGAAGTTGCGCACAGCAAGTTGTTGGGAGCAAATTGTGAATTATCTGTTATTGTCAAGGCTTATCTGGGTTCCTGGCGTCTTCCCAACTGTGTGTGTTTTGCTGTGCGTTCAAGTCTGCAATTCCTTCTGCTGCCCTGTCCAGTTAATTACTGCAGCGTGGTTTGTGTGGATTTTTAGTTACAGTTTGTATGTACTTTGTTTTCGGACTGAATTTCCTCCACTTAAAAGAGAGTTTTTTCTCCAGCTGAAGGTAACTGGGCACTGGGGGCAAAATTGGAGGTACTAAAGGGACTTTTCTTACTTATGTGACTGTGTTGCCTTTGTGCCACGCCCCTTTGGCTCATCACACAGCCTGACCGGCAAAGCTCAAGAACCTGACACATCTGGAGGAGGGTTGGGAAGGGATGCCTCAACATCTGGCCCAGGGAAAAGTAGCGGGGAGTATCTTCCCCTCTGCAGAAATGCACCTCATCTCTGAGGACTTTTGCAAGGGAGAAAGGACAGGGTAGATCTACTCTCTCGTTGTGAAGGCAATATCCGGGCACCGCTAAGAAGGCCTCGGTGGCAGAGGCACCCTTTTGTCTCTCAAGAGGCTAGTAAGAGGAGACTCCTACCGCAACACTGCAGAGGGAACACTGCTTCTTTCGCTCGTAGGGGGTGAGTTTGGGCGCATAGTCCGTGTTGGCGTGCCTTCCGCTGCTTAATTCGGCGGCTTTTTCTTTCCTCTGTTCGATTTGCTCCATGTGCCTCCGGATGCTCTCATCGTGCTGCGAAAGAGAAGGGGTGCATCCCCCCAATTTATTGAAAGGTTATCAGCAAGCCTGACAAACCTATCTAGGCCAGTGGTTCTCGACCCTGACCCCCTTTAAATACCTTTGGTGGCTGCAAACCACAGCCACGCACCCCCAAGGCTTAACTCAAGGTTGAAATCAAAAACTTTGCTTCAAGCCTTGGCAGATCTCTTGTGACACTGTGCTCCCATTTGCCCCCAGGAGGTCCACAGACCCCAGGTTGAGAATTCTTGCTCTCAGCCTTTAGGGAGGTGTCTTTCTAGTCCATACCTTCAACTGGATCTTCTTCTGGAGCTCCTCCATGGCTTCTTGCTGGGCTGCGGTCAGAGCAGCTAATCTCTCTTCCCGATCTCTATGCAAGGAGCAAGAGACATGGGAAAATTCAGGCTCTCGACTGGATACCTTTTCAGGAGTAGCAAAATCCAGACACTCATCTTTTTTTTTGTAAAATTTTTATTTTTATTTTTTTAGACAACAAACATAAACATCAAACAACAAATAAAACCTTCTTTCCATTGTACAGTGTGTCGGTTGGTGTATATTTCTTGCGCATAATATCTGTAGTCTTTTCCTCTTAGATTTAAATTGACATTCAAATTATATTAATCCACTTTCCATGTCATGTTATATTATTATTACACCATCGTTAGACTTTCATTTCAAATCTGCATTATCCTTTTAGGGCAAATCTCCATTCTTAACTCATTTTAATTCATATTATAATCCATTCCATAATAATCAATGATAACAAATCATTACTATTGTATTATATTTCATTTTCCAATTTTTCTACCTAGCCGTTGATAAAATAAACCTCATATTTTATAATAAATCCAGGCACTCATCTCGTGTGTGCCTCCTTCCCTCCATTCGTCCAATAGATCCAACATACTCCAATGCCTTGATGCATGTCTTTATCTTCTAGGGTTAGGCCCCATTAAATGAATTGAGTATTTGTACATTCCATTTGCAAACATTTCTCAATCGTGGCAAGTTTAAAACAGGGTAGACTTCGAGTCCCAGAATCCCCCAGCCTCCAGGAATCGAAGTCCGTGCAATGTTAAAATTGACAAGGTTAAAAAAGACGGATCGAAACTCTTGGGTTGGGATGAAATACAAAAGTGGGTTTTGCCATGGCTACCTGGCGCGTTCCCGAGCTGCGTCTTCTCGGGCTTTCTCCTTCTCCTGCCTCTGCTGCTCAATTCGAGCTTCTTGTTCCTTCCTCTTCATCAGCAGCTCTTCCACCCGGGCCTGACGCTCCGCTTCCAGAGCTCTCTTCCGTTCCTAGAGAGCAAACATTTCCGCTTGTTAAACATGGAAATCCTAAACCAGGGGTGTCCAACCTTGGCAACTTTAAGACTTGTGGACTTCAACTCCCAGAATTCCTCAGCCAGCAAAGCTTAAAGTCTTAAAGTTGCCAAGGTTGGACACCCCTGTCCTAAACGGTTTGCACAATCATAGAAAAGACAGAAGCTTTGGGATGGATGGATGGATGGATGGAAAGATGGTTGATGGTTAAATGGAGATAGCTAGAAAATGGATGGATAAAGATCGACAGCCAAGAGATGGATGGACAGATTATAGGTAGAGAGTAGACAAGCAAACAGATGGATAATATCATCATGTTGAGTTAGTTCCATACAGGCTAACTAGCTGATTCAGACCCAACAGCATTTTAGAGTGAGGAGAAGTCAAGGAAGAGAAGGAAAAGGAAGAGAAGGGAGGGAAGAGAGCTACCACCATAGTGTTTCAAAGTAGAACTCCAGTAAGGCAAAGCAATAACCCATCAAAAGCTCCTCTCTTCTTTGTCCTCCTCTCTTCATACAACTCCTTCTAGGGTTTGTGAAGTTAAGGGGTACCTGGACAGCTTCGTCGCGGGCTTGCTTCTCTTCCTGCCTTCGTTGGCGTTCTTCCTGTAATTCGTTGAGTCTTTGTTCGTATTCTTTCAGTTTGGACAAAACATCGTGGCGCTTATTCTGGGCTTCCAACGTGTTTATGAATGCAATTTCATTCACCTGCCAAAAAGGGAATTGGGAACTCCGATAACCATGATGAAAAATTGGATTGGAGCAAAATAAATAGGCAAACACCTTAGACAGTTGTACGTCAATTGGTTGCGGGGAATGAAGTAATTTGGTTAATATAAGCATGATCAGCTGGAGAATTCTGGGAGTTGAGGTCCACCCATCTTCACATTGCCAACACTGCCTAAAGGGATTCAGAGAAGATTTGTGGGGTCCTTGGTGCTCTCTGAGCTTGGCTGTTTTCTTGCAGACATTCCATTACCCAACTAGGTAAACACCAGAGAAAATTTATATGGGAATGAAAGAAATGTCTGGATCTGGAATTCTAGGACAGACCCCCGATGGATCTCCAAGTAAAGAAGTGTGCTCAAAAGTCCTCCACCACAGCATCGGATCAAAGCGATTTGGGCAACGGGCTTCCTCTTTTTTTTTTTTGCAAAATGCCCCCTCACTGGATTTCTGAGGACCCTGGCTTCCTGAGAATGAATTCACTGGCCTGGGATGGAGAAACACCATCCCAATGCACACGGATTCCCTAAGCAATGGTCTCTCTCTCTCCCTTTTAAAAGCATCTCCCGTTGTACCATAACTCCATTCCCATTTCATCTTGCTTCCTCTCTTGGCTCTTGCCCTCTCGTTCTCCAATCTGCAGAAGGAAAGCGCAACGTAAGAGAAAGACACTGGATATTTCTGTCCTGAGCTGAATGCCAGAATCAGAGGCTAAGCGGCCTCTTTCGACTCTGATGATTTTGGTACTTTCTCTCCCGCCATTTACAGCCGTGTCAAACATCCCCAGACGGAGTCCAACTTTCCGCTTTGTTGGCCGAGTGGAACACATTTGCAGGACGGATTCTTTGCAGCTCACTGAGCGGACAGCGGTAGGAGGGGAGGGCAGGGAAAAAGGAAGTCCTGGCCTTCTTTTTATTTGCCCCCCCTTTCTCCTCCTCCATCCCCACCAATAGCTCTGACCCAATTAGCCGTGATCTCGGGGTGCAAAGGGCCGGGGATCTCATGCCCCGTTGAACCGATGCAATGCTTTAGCCCATCTGCCAAAGTGGGAATTACAACAGGATGGGTTGTTAATCTGATTGCCGGAGTCACCCGGGATTAAAGGAACCAGGGCCCGCAGGTAAAAGAAAAGACAGCGGAAGCAGCCTGCAGGCTAATGGACTTATCCAACTGTGCTGTCTTAAGGGCTCGCAAAGCATTAAAAACACGACTTTTCAAAAAATAGCACCCAGTGTGTACACATGCATGGACCCTTGAAATTCTCCCTCCCCCTGTGGAAAGGGAAACCAGCCCTCACCGTAGCATAGAATATTGCCCGCAAATCAACTCTCCACATCACCGTAATGAAAATCAAATTTATGGCACGGCTGTGCCTTCTAGTTATCAAATTTCTCTCTCTCTCTCTCTCTTAACGGAAGGGTTTTCCCATCAAATCTAAAGTGGCCGGGCTTATTATTTCGCTTAAAAATAAGGTTGATAGGTTGTCTTCAAGGAACTGAAGCTAGTGATGATAAAAAGGACAGCGAGAAAACTGTGCCTTTGGTGACAACAGTTCACCGGTGGGAAGTCAAGCATCGACATCCAGATGCTGAGAATCACACTTGGCCTTCAGAGTCTTCTTCAAAGCTTCGGAAGAAAGATCTTGCTGTTTCTATCTCACGGTTTTGAGATAACACTGAAGACAAATAACTTCAAAAGGAACAAGCCTTCAGGCCGAGGACCGCTGTTATTGCAATTCAGAAAGAGAAAATGTGCCTGAAAGGAAGACGCCTAATGCAATTTTAGTAGATCAGGGGTACACAAATTATGGACCAAAGATATATTATGATTTCTATTGTTGGGCTCTGGACTAACCTGTAATTAGGACCATGTCCATAAAATGCAGTAAGATTCTGATCTATCTTACCTTAGCTTCTTCCTCTTGGGCTTTTTTGACAATTGCTTGCAACTGTACTTCACGTTTAAACTCCGCGTGGAGCAATTTTTCCTCCATCATCCTTCGCCTCTGGTCCAACAATTCTTCTTTCCATTTTTTTACATCTTTTTCCTGCAGAGGAGAACGAAGAGTCAAAGAAATCCCCAACTACTATGATATCTTTCATTGTGCAAACTTGCCATTAATATTGATGGTGGTTGTATCGATCGTATTACGACACGGTTGGGGGGAAACACAACTTTTGGTTCCCAATTTCAGGATTTAAAAGAGCCATTGGCAAATTTTACCCTTTCCATTAATTTCTGAAGCTTTAGCGTTTTCTCTTCCCGGAGCTTCTCTCTCAGCTGCTGAGCCTTCATCTGTTTCTCTTCATGCTTCTTCTTCGATTCTGCAATTGTCCTTGGGAAAGAATACATGGAAAATTGAGCACCAAAAAAAATAATGTGGAAGCAGCTGAAACCTACAGTACACTGCACAAGCAGCACAGAAGGTTTAAAAATAGAGTTACGAAACCCTCAGAGGGTTTCACCAACGATGCAAAGACATCGACGTCTCGTTTAGAAGATTCCCGGTTCAAACTTCATTTACAGGGCACGATATAGTGTATGTACCTCTAGAGTTGTGATTGTGATAATAATTGTTAGTCACTGCTAAGACTGTTCAGGCATAGGCCGTGGAAAATGTTGTGTTACTCAAATAGACAAGAATTCCCTCCAGACATTTTGGCACAAAGTTTCCCCACCTTTGAATTATCAGGATTACGACTCACACAGATTCTGATTCACATTTTTCCCGAATAATGGAATAAAAAAGTTTAAAAAGGGAAGACCTCTTGCGAGACGGAGAAGAGAGCTTTTCGTGCATGTGGATTCCATGGCCTGGTGGGCGAGCTGGCTCTTCTTCCACGATGTCTCCCCAGGAATTATTTTGGCGCCACGATTCACGAGCTGCAAAAAACCCGGAGAATCAGTTTTTTGAAGCCGAAGCTGATCCAGTTATCCAGGATAACTGCCCATAATTGCATGAGGGTGTTGATGAGAACAAGGCTCTCAAATTAACTGCAAATGTTGGCTCTTTTAAATAGAACATGGTTTGAGGAAAAAAAAAAAAAGGTACCTTCATAATCTGCCAGGACATCATTCCAGTCCATGGAAATGCCGCAGAAGGATATGCTGCCATTGCCTAAGCTGGCCTGAAAAATCCAGAATGCAGAAGAAAATGTCAGATGCTCTCTAACAATATAGAAGGAATTCCCTTTCACCTTGTTCCTTTCCACTTCCTGCAAATCAGAACAACGACTGTGACAGAGAACCCCCAGCTTATGACCACAACTGAGCCTGGGATTTTTGCCCTAAATTGTTGAGGGTCGTAAGTTAATTCAGACTCATTTTTATGACAATTAAGCTAATCGCTTTGGTGCTAAGCAAATGACACAGTTATTAAGGGAATCTAGTTTCCTGAAGAGGTGGGTGGGGGTGTTTTTTTTGGCAGGAAATTGGCAAAAAAAGGTGGCAAATTGGGATCACATGACTGCAGGATGAAGCAACCGGTCGGTCGTGAATGAAAGCTAGTTGCCAAATGCCTGAATTGTAGTCGCAGGCATGGTGGGATGGTTTTAAGTTGAATACGTAAGTCGTAAGTAACTTTTCCTGAAGCTATGGTAACTTCAAACTGAGTTACAAGTTGAGGACTACCTGGTAGCAAGGATCTTAACCTATGTTCTGGCTTGTTTTAACTAATCACAGTTAAGCCCTATTTTTGAAATGGTAGTGAATGGGGCAAGAGGGACGTTTTCTCCGAGAACCACCAGGGTTGGTCCCCAATCAACCCCCAGTTTCTGATGGGCCTTGTTCTTCTCCCAAAAAGTTCCTGAAAATCCCAGAACACACGAATTCTCTAACCGGGAAACAAGCAGTTAATTTCTACACGGTTGCAAAAAAGGAAACCTCACGAGTCAGAATACTTTTGTATATTTTTCCTGGCTCCCCTATTATAGAGCGAGGAGGGCCCAGCTATTCTTCAATGTCAAATAGTATATAAAAGGCCAGCGTTATATTTTCGAGACCGACTGGGGCTCTGGAAAAAGAGCCATTCCATCAATGTCAGTTTACACACACACACACACACATACGCTGCCAACTCACAGAGAAGTCGCTGTCATTGTCCGTTTCCAGGTTGATATCGGTGTTCTCCTCAGCTTCGATCTCCCGCGTCAGCTGCTCCTCCTCGGCGATGGCGCTCGCAATGGCCTCCTCGTTGGCTTTTTCCAGGCGGTCTGCTAACTCTTCTTTTTTAGCGAGCACCTCGGCCATGGACTGCCAAAGGGAAACGGAGGTCAGAAAAGCAGACTGGGAAATCAGAACGATACTTCCCGGGTGAGGATCACGGTTAATCTCCTAAATGTTACGGGAATGAGTGAATTTACTGCAAGCAGCTGGCGGAGGGTTTTGGCACTCTCATATTTAGGACCCCTTGGTATAGATCAGGAATCCCCAAACTGGGCAACTTTAAGAGTTGTGGACTTCAACTCCCAGAATTCGGGGAGTTGAAGTCCACAAGTCTTAAAGTTGCCAAGTTTGGAGACCTCTGGTATAGATGATGTCAACTAAAAAAATACTTCTTTGGTCTTTTTAGTTGCCAGCAGAAAGAGACGGGAGAAAGTAGTGCATTCCTTAAATGCTTCAGATAATTGCTAGGCAGCCAAAGCTGTTGGCAAGCAAGATTATTACTGGGGAGCTATGGATGTCTCCCACTGGAGAATATACATCCAGGGGTTGGAGGGAAGACCAGGGTCAAGGGAGAAGTGAATGGTGTCTTAGAGTCGGCTGCATCCAGGTAACACCAACATGGTCACACCTAATAAATCTTTTTTTTATTATTTTTTACTCTGAGCGATGTGGCTAGAGACTCACGATTCGAATCGGGGTGGTTTGTCGGAGCCCTGGCAGACGAAGGTGCTTACGTTTGAAATGTCTGCAGGATCCATTTCGCTTTCGCTCTTGACATTTTCTGCGTCATCACTTGTGGGAGCGACGGAGGTGACGTGGGCGCCCGCCTGTGGACTCTCGGAGTGGCCTTCGACGTCTACGAGAACAAGCGGCACTTCGGAAACGGGTTGCAAAGGTCCAGTGATCTTCTCGGAGACCTTGAGCTCTTCAAACACCCGGCCTGTGAACTAATGTGGGATAGGTGGACAGATGAGCCACCGAGATACTCTGAGGAGTGTTTTGTCAAGCCTGGAGCTGACCAGAGCGAAGCCATCTTGGAGCTTCAGTGTTGCCACACTGGAGCTGAGGGAGAGGGAGGGGGGAATAGAGATAGCTGGGGTTGTGTAGCCAAAATAAAATACTTTCTCTTGGGAACCGAGGACGTTCTCACACCTAGACAGAGGAAGGAGTCATGTTAACAAGCAACCAGACCGCGCCTTGATTGGGCCATGTGACTGTTTGGGGTTGAGAGAAAACTTTTACTTTTAATTGGGTGAAAACTGCAGGAACTTTTAGAGTCAGTTTTCACCAGATCTGTGCCAATATGATATATCCAATAAAGCTATTATTTGCCTCGTAGGTTTGTTTGCTATGGGTCTATTACTTGGAACCCTGACAGTATTGTTTAAATTGCTCAGGGCAATTTAATGCTTTTATTTTTTTTCTCTCCCTCCAAATCTCACTTTCCTTCCTTCCTTTATTCTCATAGCCCTTCTTACAGCCAATCGGGTGTTGTAAAAAAAAAAAAACCTGCAGATTTTAAACATGTAGATTTTAAACCTGAACTGTTTTTATTAGGTACTAGCTCGATACCTGTGCTTTGCTATGAAACTATGTCATTGGGTTTAGCTTTGGGGGAGGAAAATAAGGAGAAAAAAATCTGCCTAACAGCATCCATCGGTATTCATCTGGCTAGCGTCCTGTCAGTGTGTGAGAGAGTTGAGGACTGTTTGGAAACTGAAACAGTATTTGCTGTGTGAGCAAAGAGACAGCAAGGAGCCTGGGTGTGGCTTAGCTCAACTGTTCTGTACTAAAGCTGCTTGGTGCTCTGAAACTGAAATTTCTCACCTCTACTTGTGTTTTGCATTTGGACGAGATTTCTTTTCAGGTGGGGAAGTGGAGTAGAACTCCTTAGCATCAGAGCATGTTAATAATAATACTATACAAAATACTCGAAATGCTCTGATGGTCATTTCAAAAAATCCTTTCTTAGTGAGCACCTAGAAGCCAAAAGGAACATATTGCCAAATTTTAAGTTTGTAGGCTTTACGGCTCTGGAGATTTTGTGATGATACATGAGTGGTACTTTGCTTTTATATAGAGAGATAATATCAGAAAAAAAATGGATAAGAAAAGTATGTATTTACTATTTCGTGTCTTTCATAGCAGTGAGGATTATATTCGTGCAATACTGGAAAAATGAAGATATACCTCGAGATGAAGAGACAGCCAGGAAGATACCAGATTGTGCAGAAACGGATAGATTGACATTGAAAATTAAACAGAAAGAAGATGCAGAAAATTATCGAACGTGGAATTTATTTTACCAATGGTTGGAAAAAAAAGGGGGTGGAGATTTTAAAATGTAAATTTGTATGGCTAAGCAAATGAAATACCCAGACAACACGATGTTTATTAAGCACTAAGAAATGTATTTAATAGAAAATCAATAATTTTAAAAAAACAAAAACTGCAGATTTGCTCACCTGAGTCCTCTCAGCGAGCGGATGTTCACACTGATGGTCTTTCAGGATTAGATCTAAATTTTTGGACATGCCATCCTTGGCCAATGAGCCCTTCTGTTTGTAGTCTGGCGGTGGAAGAATGACGTTTTCTTTGTCGCTGTCATCCTTAAATTGCGATAATTCCGCAGACGAAGTGGCTTTGGGGACCAAAGCAGAAGATTTGGATCGAACGGGCCTTCCTCGCTGGACCGTTTCCCAGCCTTCGGCATCTCTCCTCTCTACATGGAAAAGCCAACCAAGAGATCAGGAGGAAAACTTAGCGGCGGAAACAGCGTTGGGTGAAGAAAAGAGTCAGTAATATTTTGCCTCCGCTGTTTGTTAGACGAAGGGGGTAAAAATAAAATTATACGGTCAGCAGGCCCTAAAGGGCCTAAATCGAGATCAAGGGAGGTACTAATACCCCTCTATAAAGCCTCAGTAAGACCACGCGCCTAGAGTACTGCATCCGGTTTTGGTCACCACACTATAAAAAAAGATGTTGGGACTCTAGAAAAAGTACAAAAGGACCACAACAAACGGTCACTAAATGAGCTGTTGTAAGTCGAGGACTACCTGTATCGGGCAAAGGTCGTTTCGTTCTAACCCCGTGTATTTTGCGTGCTTTTTTACGCCAGCAATATTTGTATGGCCGTAAGGTTATCTTTTGAGGCACGATGCCTGAAAGACAGCCTCTGCCAAAGACGACGTTGATCAAGCACTAAGAAATGTAATTAATAGAAAATGAATACAATTTATTAAAAAAAATAAAAGGCAGCCTCTTACCGAATGGCACACCTTGCATGGAGAGGACTGATGGTGACCGAATTGGAAAGGGGTGGGTGGGGGGGGGGAGAAAAAAAAATACTTGCCCATTCTGCGGGTGGGCTTCTGCGCTACCGGGGGCCCCTGGCCCTGGGCTGCCACTTTCTCCAAGTGGGGGGCTGTTCCTGGGTGGCTGGCCTTGACTTTGTCTGCCCAGCTGACCCCAGAAGGAGCCAGACGGTTCGAGGTAACGGTCGCAGGAGGTCCTCTAAGAGAAGGAAAAACCAGCCATTAAGGCCATCTGCCATCTTCTCCCCTGCTCTGCATGTTACAACCTCTGGCGCCTAGCCGTGTCGCGCTGGCTTGGGAATCCTGGTGTCAGGATTCCCAACAAATCCACCCCCATTCAAATCGTAAGTCTCTAGCCGCATCTCCGAGAAAAGAAAATGGATTTATTCGATGTGGCCATGCTGGCGTTGGCTGGATGCAGCCGATACTAAAATACATCATTCATTTCCCCCTTGACCCCCCTGGTCTTCCCCCCACCCCCTGGATGTATATTCTCCAATGGGACACATCCATAGCCAAGAGACATCAATCAGGCTCTCCAGTAATTTTCTTCCCCAAACCCCAAAAACTTTAACCTTAGACTGTCTACTATTGACCTCACCCCTTTCCTAAGAGGTCTGTAGGGGGCGTGCATAAGCGCACCAACGTGCCTACCGTCCCTGTCCTATTGTTTCTCTTATTCTTCTTTTATTTTTCTTATATGTACCCATTTCATGTATTCATAACTATGTATACACTTATACTTATTATCTTGTAAACAATTGACAAATCAAATAAATAAATTAAAGAAATAAATAAATAATCTTGCGCTCTGACAACTTTGGGCTGCCAGGGTGATTATCGAGGCACTTAAGGAATGCCCTGTTTCCCCCCCACTCCCTTTTTCTGGCAGCTAAAACGACCAAAGGAGTATCTTTTGAGTTGGCACCTGGGAGTTGAAGTCCAAGGGTCTTAAAGTTGCCAAGGTTGGGCACCCCATGGAGGTGCCCATGGAACCTCAGTTGGTCACTCTTTGGCTGTGAAAAAGCTCACCAGGTTTTTCCCACCCAACCAGGTGATGAAGCAGCAGCTGGGAAGCAGGAAGCAAAATGGCTATTTCCTCACTTGCTGAGCCACCCATTGCTTCCCTTTGGCCGGTTGTAGCCCACCCATTTCGCCCTTGAAATAGTAAAAAGCCGTTTAATTTTGCGTACCCAAAATTGAGGCTCCTTCGGGCATTGGAGGTCACGCTGATTCTGTCGGTCGATGGGCTGGGAATGACATGGCGCCCTGGGGACATCTTCTTGACTTCCCACGCAAGCGAGGTTGGCCTGAAAATTATACCGAAAGGAGCCGCTTTTCTTTCCCCTGCCATTAATAGCACATCGCTCCTGGATGTGGCGATGCACAGGGAACCCCTGAAGGACCCACGATTAGTACAACGCTGTCTTGTCCTTTGGAAGGAAGGGAGGGAGGGAGGGAGGGAGGGAGGGAGGGAGGAAGGAAGGAAGGAAGGAAGGAAGGAAGGAAGGAAGGAAGGAAGGAAGGAAGGAAGGAAGGAAGGAAGGAAAGAAAGGGAGATGAAAAAGGGAGGGAGGGAGAGAAAGGCTGGGAGAGG